TCTTGGCAGTTGCAATAACAATATCTTGAGGGGATGGGGTTCACCAGTCCCTTGGGCTCCTTCCAAATAATTTCTACTGCATTCATGACTGCTGACCAAATGTGATGAGTCACCTCATAATGAGGAACATCTGGTCATAGGAGTTTGGAAATACCATGAAACTAAGGATGATATGCAAAATCCAAGGAGAAAAAAAAAGTGGAATTATAGGCAAAAATTTTTTTAGGGAGTTGTTGAAGGAGTAAACTAGTGGGCTTGAATCCTGTGGCTTTGTGATCAAGGAGGACAGACTAACTCAAGGAAAAAAATACTCATTTCCTTCCTCCTACTTCTCTCCCATTCTTTCTGTGTCTTTCTCTCTCTCCATTTCATCCCTTATTTTTCTTCTTTTCCTACAGAGGTTGGTTAATTATACTTCTTTGTCCAGCTGACACTAAAGAATCTGATGGCTCTTAGCACATCACATGTGGGGAAAAAAATTGAAAGAAAAAGGAATACTGTCACTATTTTTGTCACCAATAACCAGCAGCTAGCTGCTGCCTCCCCTCTGCTCGCATCTTTAATATTCTGTTCTTATTTAGGAAACAGAAAACTATACCAATGCTGAAAGACTAATTTTTTTTTGAGGGGGTGAGTACTGGGAATTGAACCCAGGGGCACTTAACCACTGAGCTACATCCCCAGCCCTTTTAAAATATATATATATTAGAGATAGGGACGCTCTAAGTTGCTTTAGGTCCTCGCTAAATTGCTGAGGCTGGCTTTGAACTTGTGATCCTTCTGCCTCCCCTCCGCTGGGATTACAGGTGTGCTCCCAGCTGAAAGACTAATTCTTTAAGTCTGGGAAAAGGGGGAAAGTTAGCCCAGCCAAAACTGATTAACCAGTATGAAATTTCTGATAACATTGGTAAAGAGGAAACAAGATGGTTAGACCAGAGTGGAGGCAGGTGTTATAAAAACACAGTGGGTAGACCATGCGAGTTCTATTGCTTTGCCAGCCTGACATTCTGTCATGAGCCACACTGATTGTTGTAATACCAAAAAGCTCTTCTACCAGTTAGTAAATTGCTGCCAAATGTTTCCTAAGTGGCCCCCTGTCCACTTTCCTGCCTCCAGGCTACCAGTCCTTCTTCTTATTCAGCAACTAAAGAGTTAAGACCCAGAACAGCTGTTGACCTTCAAAAACTTGACTTTGTGCTAAAGTCGGTGTCTGTTCTAATTGGCTAGTGGCCATTGGGCAACCAGCTGCTAAATATTTTGAATATCACCCCTAGCTGTAGCCACAAAAAAAGAAAAAGCCAAGTAGGTGTGGTAAATTGGTTGCAAGAAATGGCCTAACACTGAGTTGAGGTTTTGGCTTCTGCTTGAAGCATTGGCAGGAACTAAATAGATGGGCGTGCCTGGGTTCTGCTTGATTTGTGTAGCAAAATAATTCCTTAGTTCAATGAACAAAGATTTAAATCAAGCCAGCACACTACATACTGTCACAATCTTTCTGGCCATAACGATTCCTGAGTCAATTTCTCCCTTAAGGAGGAAGATAGGAACTTTGGAGAAAGTTTGCTTTGACATTATTCAGTTCAACCAAAGATTGACAGAACTTGAAAAAAATAACAGAGGATTATCTCAAGCTTAGGTGGGCATTTGATATGCTATCTTTGATTTATGAAAATGTTTTCCTCTGTTTCTCTTTATGCACTCCCTTAGAAGGTACGTCAAAAGTTTTGATACAAATTTCTTCTCTCTCCATAGGTTTTGCTTCTTCCAGATTGCTTCTGATTATTTATTTATTTGTTTAATTAATTTTGATCTATGCATTTCAAAGAAGAGGTTTTCCTAAGAAACACTGGAGATGCTTGGGTGGGAACTTAATTAAATGCAAAAAGTTGATTGACAGCTCTGTATGCCTGGATGAAATTTTTCTTTTTCTTTTCTGCAGTACTGGGGATTGAACCCAGGGGTTCTCTACCACTGGGTTACATCCCAGATCTTTTCATTTTTTAATTTTTGAAACAGGATCTCCCTAAATTGCCCAGGCTGGCCTTGAACTTGTAATCCTCCTGCTTCAACCTCTAGAGTAGCTGGGATGACAGGTATTGGTGGGATGACATCAATTGATGGGATGACATCAGGTATTGACTGGATGACACTGTATTTGGCTGAAGCTTTTCTTTTAGTTCTCTGTAAGGCAATTCAGCTTTAGTCCTTTCTATGGAAAAATTCCAAAGTCAGTGTCTTTAAGTCTATTCTCTTGGCTAGTTGTATTTCCCAGGAAAAACACTTGTAAAATCCTGCCTGGAGGATATAGGTCCATGTGGCTATGCATCTGGCAGCTGGGGGTGGAGGTAGTCTGGGAGTCTCAATATTTGATGCATTTGCTTTCTTTAAACCCCCATATTTTTAGTAAGGTGTTCGTGTCCTCCACTGGGCTTGTGTCCCACAGTCCAGAAACCCTCTGTTTTGCCTTCTCCAGGAATAAATCTCTAATCTTGTTCAAGGAAGATACAGTCCGTCAACTACCAGTGGGTGTAGAATAAGGAGGGAACCTAGCAGCCTGTTGTCTTTTTTAAAAACTTGAGGTGAAATTCACTTTAAAAACTAACCATTTTAAAGTGTACAGTTCAGAGGCATTTAATCCATTCACCACCATCTCTACCTAGTTCTAAAACAATCTCATTACCCCCAAAGGATTCTTCATAGACATTAAGCAGTCACTACTCATTCCCCTCTCCCTCAGCCCCTGGAAACCACCAATATGTTTCCCCCCCCAGGGGTGGGTAGGTACCAGGGATTGAACTCAGGGGCACTCGACTACTGAGTCACATCCCCAGCCCTATTTTGTATTTTATTTAGAGACAGGGTCTCACTGAGTTGCTTAGTGCCACACTTCTGCTGAGGCTGGCTTTGAACTTGTGATCCTCCTGCCCCAGCCTCCTGAGCCGCTGGGATTACAGGCGTGCATCACTATACCCAGCAATATGTTTTTTTTTTTTTTTTTGTCAATGGACCTTTATTTATTTATTTTTATGTGGTGCTGAGAATCTAACCCAGTGCCTTACACATGCTAGGCAAGTGCTCTACTGCTGAGCTACAACCCCAGCCTATCCAATATGTTTTTATTTGAAGATAAAGTGATCTGTACCTGGAAAATGAAGAAAAACAACTGAAAAAATAGTATTATAAACAATAAATAAGCTCAGGAGGAGGCTCCATACTATCCTAAGACCTTAATGAGTCACCAGGATTCTTGGGAACCCATCAGAAATCCAGTGGCTGGTCAACTCTAACAGGTCCCTTCTGTCACTGAGCATAGGATTATTTTTCTACTATGGAAGAAATATTTATTCTATATTAGGGTTTCCTTTCCTTACAAGACACACCTTGAACTATTTCACCATTCCTGGAATGGTGACTTTGCAATTAACACAGGGTGGTCCAGATAAAATTTTCACTTCTCAGTGAAAGAAATAAGACAGTTGGCCAGCCATGAACCTTTATCATATTTCCTATCTACCAGAAGCAGCTGGCCTTATAGAACAATAAAGTAGTCCCCTGAAAACTGATCTAGCAGTATCCAGGAGACCACACCTGCAAGGCTGAGACACTGTTTGCAGATAGAGATACAGGATCCCAACTGGGCCTGAAATTCTCCCTCAGCTAGGACAAAGGACCAAAAGCCAAGGGTTGAGGGGGAGAGTGGCAGCTGTCATGATTACCATTCTCTTTTAAAATATTTATGTTCCATCTCCCAAGTCACTCAGGCTCTGTGGACTTAATAGCTCAAGAGCAGGGTATTCCCACCAGGGCGCCCAACTATTTGGTACTCCTCCTGACCCTAAGCAATGGCAGTGTCCCCAAAACTGGCGGTGCTGCCCCTGATTATGAAGGGGAAATAGGGTTGTTAGTCCTTGATATGACTTGGGTGGAGTAGAGATGGGAGGAGAATGAACTCCTTGGTTGCTCTTGCAGGCCACACCCAGTAGCAAAAATTAACAGAAAACTACCAGAATGTAATGAATGTTCCGTTTTAGTTTTTTTTTCCCCCCTCACTATTGATGGTAGCTAAATTTACCAACTTATTCAAGGTTTCAAGATGGGAAGAAATAACCTTTGGCTCACAAGAAGCTACAGAAGGGATGTTTAAAGTGGACTGCAAAGTCCTGTTTGCATATCTGAATGTGACTTAGTGTGGCCTACTTTTAGGGATGTTGAAGTGCATTTGTGGCTGTGATAACTAAGGAAACCCAGTATTTACTTCTGAGCCCTCTCCTATTCTCTGTCTATATGCAACTTCATCTGGTCCCAGGGCTGTATGTAACTTCCATATACTGATGACTCCTAACCCTACATTCTCAGCTCTGGCCTCACCTGGAAATCAGGACTATACCTCCACCTGTCTACTTTATCAACCCTTTGAAGGCCTCACAAGGATCTCAATATGTCCAAGCAATACTGATTTCTAGATATCAGCATCCCTTAACCTGATCTTCCTCAGTCTCCCCTTTAAAATAAATGGCACCCATGAGTCACTCAGATGCTTAAAACAAGAATCTAGATATCCTTTCCAATAGGGTAGCCTACTAAACCACATATGGCTATTTAAATTTAAGTTTTAATTAAATAGGAAATGGGAACATAGCTCAGAAGTAGAGGATTTACTTACCATGCAGGAGGCCCAAGTTCAATCTTCAGCATTGCAAGAAATAAAATATAAAAAATTCAGACTCTTATTTTTTTCTTTTTATTGTCACAGTATAACTATACATAACAGTGGGATTTGTTATAATATATTCATACATTCACACAATAAAACAGTATAATTTGATCAATTTCATTCCCCAGTACCTCACCTTTCCCTTCCCTCCCTCCCCCATCAGCTTCTTCTATTCTACTTGTCTCCCTTCAATTTTTTTTAAATGTTCTAAGTAGTTATACATGACAGTAGAATGCATTTTGATGTGTCGCGACCCCTTGCCCGCAAGGAAGACGCAACTCAGGAATCTTCTTTCAGCAGTTTATTCAGGCCCTTGATATTTCTTCTTCCTCTCGGATGCCCCTCCCAGCCTTAATAAAGCATCCCAAGCCCCAATGCAAAGCTGCCGCGTGGAGCTTTCTCACAGGGTGGTGAAAAATCATGTGCCAACTTTCCCAGATAAGGAGTTGTTTGTCACAGACCACAGCGGAGCCAGCGTCATCTTGTAATGGCGACCATAGTCTGCAGAAACGGCAGAAGCGGCTCACCACAGTTCCCCCTTTTCTGTTTTCTTAAAACAATACAGGCGAGAGTAGAGGTCCTATCCCACTGTGCAGAAGTGGCTGCATAGTATGACTTAGTCCTAAGGAGGCGCCTTCCCCAGATCTGAAGCCATATCAGCCGACGCCTTTTTTCGTGGGGCGGGGCGTGAACGCGTCTAACCCGCATGCAATAGGACATGCTCTCCTTGAGGTCCTCGTCAAGGATCACTCAAGTGCAGTGCCTTGCCTCGCATCCTGTATCGTGACGATGGTGGACGAAGGGGGATAGCTGAGGCTGAACTGTGGCTGTTTATAATGACAAACAAGTTGACAGCACCCTGAAAGAAAGGCACGAACTTCAAGGCGATAGAAAAGTACTAGTGTGGAAACCCATCTGCGTGCAATGGCAGTAAGACCGGCAGAGTGCAAGGGCTTTCCAACACTAAGAGAATAACAAGGAAAGTCATGTCGATCCCAGTGCAATGTTATAATAACTTGGGGTGTAACGACCATGACAAAGGTTTACTGCTTAAGATGCGCAAGCCAGACTTGAGGCGAGTTGCCATTTTCTAAAGCTGCAAGAGCTTGTATGATCATAGCCTTATCGTGAGCACTGCGGGCCTTAAGGCGACAGAGAAGCCACAAACAGAGTACAACACTGAAGCAACACATTGCACCAAAAATGTCTACTCCCACCCACTCTTTGAAGAAGGAAAAAGCAGAAGATATCCAATCGGTGAATTGACCCAAAGTCACAGGATCGACACGGGTGCTATTCAGAACAGCAATCTGAGTTAGTTGAGACTGGATCAAGTTTTCTGCTTCCATGGACCAGGTTCCGGATAGATACTCTCCGATGATGCGGGAGGCATTTCTGGAATCATTAAATCTGACAGAGGTTATACATAAATGTGCACGTTGGTCAACACAACCCAAATGTACTAGGTCAGACAATTCCTCAACTTGAGCTTGAAGCAGATCTATCCTTTGATTAGCAGCCAGAATCCCAGATAAAATGTGTTGATTAATTCTACTTTGAGATTCAAGTATGGTGGATGTTTGTTGAATAACCTGATTAATAGTGGCAGCAGTTTGTACCTGGCTGGCCATGGCTACTCCAGCTATAACTGCTGCAGCAGCAGACACCGCCACAGCTGTCACTATAGCTGCCGTAATTCCAAAATCTCTACGGGCTCTAATCAGTTCAACAATAGGAAAAGACTCTGGATCTGCAGTAACCGGGATCGGGACAAAAGTTGGAATTTTCATAATCACTGCCGTAGTCCAGGAGCCATTCCAACACGCAGACAAATAACAGGTAATATTAGAACAATTAAGCATCCCCTGTAATGTAACATTAGCCAAAAGAAACAGGAACAGAGATTGGAGACGGACTGCTGCGGAGGGTAATGTAGCATTAGATAATTGTGAATTATTTGCAGAAATTTTAAGCCTCCTACCTCGCTCCGAGTCTTGGGTACTGCCAGAAACATTAAACAGCCAACTTTGGACTCCTAATATTTCCCTGGGGAAACACAAGCGCGGACTAGACTAGCCCAATCTGAGGGAGTCATGCAAAATCTAGTAAGTCCCTCCACCTGAGTGAGAGTGAAAGCGGCATCTATGCCATAAGTGCGGACAGATTCTGCCAAGGTTTTAATTAGCTTAAAGTCTAAAGGCTCATGATATCTTCCCTGTTATTGTCCTGAAATACAGGGTATGCAAGTCCCATATCTGTATTAACTGTCCTCCAAACTTGTGCATGAAAAGATCTCCCGGAACCTTGGCTCCCCCCCACATACGGAGGTGGGGCAATCGGCACCATATCTTCTTCTAGATATTCTACCTCCTCCTCCTCAGAGTTTTGTTGACCAATGTTAACTCCCTTCCCCTTCTTACAGTAGGCCTGCGTGCCCTGTGTCTCCTTTTTCTTCTTTTTCATTTTTATCTTATGTAGTTGTTGTAACAATATATCAAGGTCCTCAGAACTCTCTGAGTCGCTTGTGTTCTCAGGCGTTTTTAATTCGGTCAAGTCTGGGTAGAGCCTTCTCCTATTTTTATCTTCAGGCTCTTTTGCCTTCTCACTACTGTTACTTTTAATACTCTCTGCCACTCCACTACATGATCCTTCAGATTTTTCCTCATGCAGTTGCTCAAGAATAGCTTGACCCTCACTCACAGCTTCCTGGCATTTACCATCTGTAAGGCAACCACGGACCATTTTCCAAAGGGGTATCACCCCACCCTCTAATATGCCCTGCTCAGAAGCAAAGTCAAGATCTTTGCCTAATTTATCCCAACTAGGCACAGTAAGGCTGCCCGAAAATGCAAACCACGGTGCAGCGATATCTATCTTCTGTAAAAATCTCTGTAAAGTACTATGTTTCACTTCCAGTCCCTTGGAACGTAACAGGCCATCTAGGGCCAGGAGAAGCGGACTTGAAGATGCGGCACCCATGACACAACAACAAAGGAAGCACAAAAAAAAGAAAGCGAAAGTAGAAGCGAAAGTACACAGTGCAGCTGCAATAAAATGTAAGGCTCTCTCTTTCATTACAGAGGAGCTGTCCCGCTTTGGTCGCGGATCCCACTTACTAGGGACTAACCCCGCTTTGATCGCGGATCCCACTTACCTGGGACTAACCCCGCTTTGATCGCGGATCCCACTTACCTGGGACTAACCGGTGCACCACCCCTGACTGTTGAAAGTTCTGGTTCCCGGGTCTCGGCACCACTTGTCGCGACCCCTTGCCCGCAAGGAAGACGCAACTCAGGAATCTTCTTTCAGCAGTTTATTCAGGCCCTTGATATTTCTTCTTCTTCCTCTCGGATGCCCCTCCCAGCCTTAATAAAGCATCCCAAGCCCCAATGCAAAGCTGCCGCGTGGAGCTTTCTCACAGGGTGGTGAAAAATCATGTGCCAACTTTCCCAGATAAGGAGTTGTTTGTCACAGACCACAGCGGAGCCAGCGTCATCTTGTAATGGCGACCATAGTCTGCAGAAACGGCAGAAGCGGCTCACCACATTGATGCATTGTACACAATTGAAGCACAACTTCTTATTCCTCTGGCTGTACATGGTACAGAGTCACACTAGTAGGGTAATCATACATATATATATAGGATAATAATGTCTGTCTCATTCTACCATCCTTCCCATCCCCATAGCCCCACCCTCCCCTCTGCACAATCCCAAGTTCCTTCATTCTTCCCCACCCCCTGCCCCCCACTAGGATCAGCATTCACTTATTAGACAAAACATTTGGCCTTGGGTTTTTTGGGATTGGCTTATTTCACATAGCATGATGTTCTCTAGTTCCATCCATCTACCTGTAAATACCATAATTTCATTGTTCTTTAAGGCTGAGTAATATTCCATTGTGTACATGTATCACATTTTCTTTATCCATTCATCTGTAGAAGGGCATCTAGGTTGGTTCCATCATTTAGCTATTGTGAATTGTCAATCTCTTAGTTTTACTAGCTACATTTCAATTTTTAACAGCCCTATGTAGCTAGTAGGTACTATAATGAACAGTGAGACATAGAATATTTCATTATAACAGAAAGTTTTGGACAGTACTTCTCTAAAGAGGTTGCCATTGGCTCTTCCTTCTTCACCTCCCACATTTGATTCATTAACAACTGTCAATGATTTTATATCCAAAACATCCCGTGATCAAATTCTCTCCCACTGTTGAAACCGCTTCTCAATTGCCCTACTTCCAATATTACTCACCCACAACCATTTCTCCTACATTGACTAGAATGAATTTTTTAAAAATATTTTTTAGTTGCCAATGGATTTTTCACTTTATTTATTTATATGTGGTGCTAAGGATCGAACCCAGGGCCTCACACATGCCAGGCAAGTGCTCTACCACTGAGCCACAACCCCAGTCCTACTAGAATGAATTCTTTAAAACTGAAAATAATATCAAGTGTTACCTTTGCTTTAATCCTCCAATGGCTTTGTCGCAGAGACTGTGGCTTTATCCTAATATCCCTTCTCCCTTATTCGGTGTTAGAAACTCTGGAACTTAGATAAGCACATGGAAGCCCCAAATAAAGAATATATTTTCCAGAGTATTTGAACTTAGGTGTGGTCACATGACCAAATTATAGCCAGTGAGATGAGAACCAACAGGGTGGTATGCAATTTCTTCCCAGGTCCTTAAAACAGTGGGCTCTTTCCTGCTACCCAACAGGCACGATGACTAAAGCTAGACTAGATCATGAGTGAACATGGGATAGAGGTGAGGCACTATGGAGCAACAAAATGAAAAAAGCCTGGGTCCTAAACATAGTTTGAGGTTTTCCATCATTGTGGAAAATTATATTCTAACTAGATAGCTTCCCATAATACATAGAAAATCCAAACCTTGCTGCTTCAACACAGGAAGCTCCATCTTGCTGTAGGGTTGCAGTTGTTTTTGTATCTGCCTGGGATGCTCTTCCTCCTCAGATGTCATCATGACTGACTCCTTTTTGTTATTCAGGTCTCAGTTTTAAAATCACTGTTCCACAAGGACCGATGAGACAGTGCATGCAAAATTTTCCTGTGAAAGTTTTAAAATTAAAGTGACATCCTCGAAAAAAAAGAGAGAGAGAGAGAGAGATGGTTTCCCTCACCAACCCTCTCCAAATTACCCAACCAATCATTCTCTTTTCCAAGAATTTATTTTAGTTACTTGCATACAAATTATCACTAACTGATGATTCTTCCACTTGTTCTGTGTCTGCTTCTCCCCATCAGAATGTAAATTCCACAAGGATAGAGATTTTGAGCGCTTCACTGCTGTATTTCCAGTGTCTAGAATGTACCGGAAACCCAGCAGACACTCAGTAAGTGTCAAATGAAAAATCAAATACTACTTCACCAAACATGATGATTAAAAGTAGGGTTTAAAAAGCCAAGACTCAGATTCGAATTCCAGCCAGGCCACGTACCAGTTGCATAATCCACTCCAAACGATTTAATCTGTAAAATTAGTATCCTACCTATGACTTTGGGCAGGAATACACGAAACAGCATTATTAAAGCACTCTCTTTCCTTCTCCCTCCTCCTTTCCTCTCTCCCCCTCATATGGCCACTTTTCTGTTATGCGTGTCATTCCGCGAAGCCTAGAGCAAGACTTTGAAATTTGGCGGCAATCATCACAGTCCGCAGGACTAGATTTGCGCAAGCGCAGAACACCTCCTCTACCTCGCGCGCTAACTTTGAGACCTCGACAGCCAATCAAAGTTAGCGTAAGAACCCTAGAGCGGAGAAGTCGCAAAGCGAAACCGGGAGGCGGGCCCTGGTGGAGGCAGTGGCGAGAGTGGGCGGGGACAAGAAAAGGGCACGCACAGTTCTTGCAGCCGGGGTCTCTGCGGGCCAATGGGAGAAGCTTGAGGCCTGAAAGCAGTGGGGCGTGGCTTTGGAGGCTCAGGCAACCGGAGGCTGTCCCAGCTCGGACCAATCATAGTGAGGAGGTGGGAGAAGATTAGCCAATCTACGTGCAGGACAGGCGAGGCAGGGGGCGGTGGAGTCTCGCGCGGACGCCGCCGGCTCCTGAGCTTCTGTCAGGGTTGCTGGGCGCGCGAAGGCGGCGGAGGCGGGAAGGTGGCAGTGGTTGAAGGAGCGATTCCCGAGTTGTGGGGAGGAGGTCGGAGGGAGGTGGGCAGCGATGGTGATGGCGGCCAAAAAGGGCCCAGGCCCGGGTGGCGGAGTCGGCGGGGGAAAGGCGGAGGCGGAGGCGTCCTCGGAGGTGTGGTGCCGCCGGGTGCGGGAGCTGGGTGCCTGCAGCCAGGCCGGGAACCGCCACTGCTTCGAGTGCGCCCAGCGCGGGGTCACCTACGTGGATATCACCGTGGGCAGCTTCGTCTGCACCACCTGCTCCGGCCTCCTGTGAGTGGACCGGCGGTGGGAGGACAGGGAGCAAGGGCAGAGAGCCAGCCCGGGGGACCACGGGGATCCCAGGTGGTCGGGGAGGCCCAGATCCAGGGGCGAGGGCGGCGGGGGAGGACACAGTCGCGCCAGACACGGTGAGAGGGTCGTCTTCTGTAGAGGTGTTGGGAAGGGAAGCAGAGGGGAGAGAAGAGCAAGCTGGAGTCGCGTTGCGGAGAGAAGGGTGGGGGCTGAGGAAGGACACCCGGAGACGATGGAGAAATTCCCTGAAGGAGGCGAGGCGAACTGCAGGTGCGGAGACAGAAAGTGTGGAGAATTGAAGGGAACGTGGGGTGAGCTAATGGAGTAGGGATTTAAAGGGCCAGAAAATGGCATACACCTTTAAAGGAAACTTCTTGTAGGTGGAAGGCAAAAAGGTAGGGAAAGCTGGACTCCAGATGAATAGTGCCTCCCCCCCCCCACCTTTCTGGCTTGTGCCCCTCCTGAAGTGTCAGATGCAGGAACCAGTTGAAAATAGGTGAGTTAACCCAGTCTAGAGATAGTATCAGATAGGGAGCCAGGGTTCAGGTGCAGACCTAATCTTGCAGAGCTTTGGAATGCTACCCAGAAGGTTGACTTCTTACGAAATCTCAATAGTTGAGAACCAGAGGGTTACCGTAGTAGAGAGCTTAACTTTTTCAAAAAGTATGGGATGAGACATCCTTAAATATAATCATTTACACCTTTTTGTTTGCCTGCATCTAGTCAACTCTTTCTAAATTGGGTAGGGTTTGTAATGCTACCCTTGACACTGACACTGTATTTGATCATGCCAGAGATACTTCAGTTCTAGCCCAGATTTCTGCTTATATAGTAAGGTTCCTTCACCCCAGCGAATTATCTGATTAGATGCTTGATTAACATCTGATACCATTCATAGATCTCTGGTCTTTTTTTTTTTTTTATAAGTTTCCAAGGGATTTATTTTGCCCTTTTTTTAGTATTAATATACGTTATTTTCTGAACAAGAAAAGCTTTCCTTGCTCTTACACCTTTAGGAGCCAAAAAATAAGCAGTATTGTTCTTGCATGACAGATGGGAGAACAGAAGCAAAGAGGTTTAGTAACTTTTCCAGTGCCATATGGGGGTTGCTGTTTTCAGCACTTGTTGTTTGATATTAGTTATGATCATGGCAGACCAGAAATGAGGAATTTCTGGAAACGTAAGATACTGTTTGGAACTATTTCTCTACTTTGTTTTACCTCCTTTGTCACATTTATATGTTCTGATCATCCTCACTCATATGTTGTAAGGATGAACTTCATTTTGGTCTGAGTAAAAGCCATTGTGACTCTTGGGACAATAATTTAGAACCCAAAAAGGAGTGTGCCATGAGACCAATTCTCAAATGAAGTAAGAGAGTAGAGACTTGAGACTGAGACAAATACTCTGTGAAGACAAGGAGGAAAGTTTGGGAATTATTTATGTAGCATAATGTAGAAAGAGAAAGGGCTGATTCCTGAAGATGCTGTTATGAAAAGGAAAATTGGGTTAGAAGGCCTGGGAAGAAATAAAGGAAAGTAGGGGGGATAACATGGATGGTCCCCAAGAGCTAGGTATTGGAAGAAAATATCAGGAAATGGTGTTAATCCATTTCTTGGTTAGTGGTGATGGCATGGAAGATAAAAGTCTGAATAAATAGGCAGTGCTCTCACATCATTATCATTTTCTAGATCTTGATTTAAAGTATTCCACAAATAACATTTCACTTCTGTAATGAGTATCCCTCAATCAAGACAGAAGGAAGGCCAAGGGATCTGGGCCACATTAAAAACCTGATTTCTTTTGGTGGAAATGTTAACTCCTTAAATATTGATGGACAATTTTCAGAACCTTACCACTTTTCCGCATGGTCCCTATCACTATTGTGGGTCTCACTAATGAAAAGTCAGATGCCAGTGATCAGGGCATACGCTAGATGGAGGTGGCTATGGCCTAAGGATTGATAGTTTAACAGGGAATTATCTAAGGAGGCCTGTATCTCTCTGGAATGTATGAACCTCAAACTGAGTGAAACTCCTTAGGGATATACATTCCTGTGGGACCAAATAAGAAGAATCAACTAACCCTTTTGAAGATTCAGGAAATTCTGGGGCGGGGTTATAGCTCAGTGGTAGAGGGCTTGCCTCGCACTTGTGAGGTACTGGGTTTGATCCTCAGCACCACATAAAAAAAATAAATAAAAAGATATTGTGCCCATCTTTTAAAAATATGTTTTAAAAAAAAAGATTCAGGAAATTCTAAGCCAGGCATGACAGTGCATGCCTATAATCCCAGCAACTCAGGAGGCTGAGGCAAAAGCTTCGCAAGTTCCAGGCCAACCTCAGCAACTTAGTGAGACACTCTCAAAATTTAAAAAAAAAATTAAAAGGGCTGAGGATGTAGCTCAGTGGTAGAGCACTACTGAGTTCAGTCCCTAGTACTGCAAAAAGAATTTCTAGAAAGGATGTATTTTGGTAAAACTTTATGAGAATTACTGAAGGAATGAATTCTGGAGACAGTAGACTTTAGAGAACATAATTTTGGAAGTTAGGAAATGAGAAGTGAGGACAACACTTTGTTAGCAGGAAGTAAGAGTTGAGTGAAGGATCAAGAGACTGGGCCAATGAATAAGGCTGAACTGAAGACATGGTGAGATAAGAAGGAGAGAAATATCAGGGAAAACTCTTAAGAGAGCTGGAGTTCCCCAGGCTATGACTGTTTGCCTAGGCTGTGGTGGAACTTCTCATTAGAAATTGGATTTCTGATAAGCATGGACTAGGGTAAGGCATATAAACCTTTTACAGGGATCTTAAAGTATTACCTTGTCCCTGCTATGGGAAGGGCTAGGAGCTGGCAGGTATGCAGAATATGTGAGGCAGGGGATGCCTTTTTCTGGCTGCCAAGTGAAGAGGGCACATAGTCCAGCAGACAATGAAGAGTCCTGGTCCATAGTAACACGTAGACCAGTTAGCATCTTAAGTCCATGTGTTGATTGACATAGATTAGAATTTTGTGGTAGTGGGAAGTGAAAATTATGGTAAGCCAACAACCTGCACATTTATTCATTCAGTTAGCTGACAAATGTTTCTTGAGTCCCTATCAATGTTTTAGGTTCTGGAGATAACGGTAGCCGCAAAACCTCCATCTTCATATAGTTTGCTTCCTAGTGAAGGCCATAAAGAAGTTCTTCTGGGCTGGGATGTTGCTCAGTGGCAAAGCATCTGCCTTGCATTTGCAAAGCCCTGGGTTCAACCCCCAGTTCAAAAAAAAAAAAAAAAAAGACAAAAAAGAAAAGGAAGTCCTTCTATATATAATTGTAGGTAGTGGTAAGTGCTTTGAAGTAAGATAAAGCTTAGTTGGGTTAGAGAGTGATAGGAGCTCACATTGAGATATGATGCAAAGAGAATATTCTTTGTTAAAATGAGGGGCATTTTGAAGGGACATTTTTTAAATACCATCCTCAGCAACCCAGCCAAAGAAAGAAGACAGCAGGATTGGCTTTATTTTGAAGGCCAAATTTTCTGTTGACTGTATTACAAATATGTCTATCTCTTAGGAAGAGGGCATCTTCTGAGGGCAGTGAGAGAACTGCCAGGGGTCTCAGCTGGCTGGTTTGGCTGATGGAGCAAAGCTGACTGTTCCAGCCAAAGTTGAATTTCCTAAGATCTGAAGAAAAATCCACATTTTAATATTGGTGGGTGGGTATGATTCTGCCTTCATCCCTGCGTGGATGAGCTCATTCTTGCTCTTTTTTAATGGGAAATATTTTTTCAACTGTAGGAAATACCTATAGCGTTGGTGTGAGGGCCTGAGAGAGGCTGCTAGTTTCTGTCATTTCTAAATTTACATATGTGCTGCCACAATTGTAGGTCCCAAATTTGACCTAGTTTTATTGATTTGGTTTTCTTCCAATACCTAATTTCCTTAACCTGGATTCAGATCCTTTTAATTTTCCCATATGCTTATTAGTTACAATTTCAACTCCCCTACTAGAGGATGAGCCTGCCATTTAATGCTTTATATGGGGTAGAAATTGCTACTAAAAAAGCATCTATTTCAAAGTAATGCTTTGAATATTCTTTCTTGTTCTGGTTTATCTGATTACCTCTATGGATAAAAGACTTTTCTTCAGAAAGAAAATTGACACCGAGGCCTGTGGTCTTGTTGACATCAGGGATGGTCACTGACTTTGACACCCATTTTTTTTTCAGTCAAGTATGACATGCTTCCATGACCTGGTTGTTTGATCCTCCTTTAGTCCCTTGGGTCTC